ATGGAGGGTTGGGGTCTAATAGACCTTAATCGAAGTGTTCTCGGTTGAGAACACCTCGATTAAAGTCTGTTCGACCTCAAATGGGCAAATCCAGTTCAGGCCTGGGTCGTCTGTGTTTGAGCTTCCAGAGTGAGTTCCCTTTCTCTTTTCTGTTTTTGTTTAAATGTTGTTTGGGTTTGTCAGCATGTTTAATTAGTTTGTTTGGTATATATGATATTTTCTTCCAATTTGTTCTCCGTCTTCGTAAGACCTTTTATTTGGTCGATTATTCTTCTGTTTATGTTTGAATACGTGTGATAAGATGCATATTCGATTTGATTAATATCGTCGAACAGATAATTCATATGGGTTCCCTGTGTCGTGCAAAATTGTTGAAGGCAGTTGATGCCCTATTCGTGTTGTTTGTTTGATCGACTGATTGTTCTATGTTATAATTAGTGTAGTCGATTAGATAAATGTCGTCGATTAGTTTATAGGACTGAATGTTCAAATATTCTGATTCACATAGCTTCGTATGACTGATCGAATCATTGTCGTTTAGCCGTTTGTTTTAAACTATCTATGAATGATTCGTAGCTGCAGTACAATAGCTGGAACTCAGTTTAGGATAATTTAAGTTTGAACTTTCAGAAGTTTAAATTTCAGACTGCTGAAGCTTAGGTTAAAACAGTAATAGCAGGGGNTATTCCCTGTGTCGTGCAAAATTGTTGAAGGCAGTTGATGCCCTATTCGTGTTATTTGTTTGATCGACTGATTGTTCTATGTTATAATTAGTGTAGTCGATTAGATAAATGTTGTCGATTAGTTTATAGGACTGAATGTTCAAATATTCTGATTCATATAGCTTCGTATGACTAATCAAATCATTGTCGTTTAGCTGTTTGTTTTAAACTATCTGTGAATGATTCGTAACTGCAGTACAATAGCTGGAACTTAGTTTAGGATAGTTTAAGTTTGAATTTTCAGAAGTTTAAATTTCAGACTGCTGAAGCTTAGGTTTAAAACAGTAATAGCAGGGGTTAAAAGGGGTAGTTTGGGGTGTGAAAAAAAGCAGAATTGGTTAGTTTAAGATGGGCTGACATAGGGTACTAAAATAGGATTAAACTAATACAATAGTGGGGAACAAAACTTGAAAGCATGGGGGTAATTGAAGGCTGTCAGCTGCCCATACCACTTGGGGGCACAAAACACATGTTAATGGGAAATAAAGGGGTATGTGCAGAGTTGAGGGTTGGGGGGGGGGAACGAGGCAGCCTAGGGGTTTGCTTGTATTTTGCCTATAAATAGGCTCATTTGAGGTAGAGTAAAGGGTTAGACATGAGAGGTGAAGAGGTTAGGAAATCAAGAATTAAGGAAAGACTAAGACTTCAGAATTTAAAAAGAAAATAACAAGAGTGTTAAGGCTGTTTGATCCTCATTCTAGGTTAAGCTTTACATCAAAGAGCTTCAACTTGTCTTTGCCCTTGAGTGTTTAACAAAAAAATCAGAAATTACTGTTGTTTGCCCCTGTCTGTTTTCCGCTGGTACTGTTGGATTTTTAGCTTGGTAGTCTCCAGTCTTCTGCTTGCTGAGTACTGTTCCATTAGGCTACTCCTGGTTTTCTGCTTTTGGTTCAAACCTGTCGCTGGTTTCCTTGTTTGGTTATCATTTGATTTTCTTGCTGGGGCTTGCTTTTTTGTTCTTGAATCTGCCTGCTGGGTTTGTTTGGTTGCTGAGTGCTGCTTGTGTTGCTGCTGCACTGCTGCTATCACTGCTGACTTCTTTTCTACTGTATCTTTAATCTTCTACCAGGTACACAACTTTATCATGGCTGATGTAGGTCTAAAAATTTGAAGCATGAATATGAGATGAAGAAATGAAATTTTAACGTTTGGTTTCATATATTCTGAAATTTTAAGTTGTGTAAAAGGATAATTAGTTTCATTTGTTAGAAGCATGTAGTAGCTTTGCTATGTACAATTGAGTATCGAGCAGTAATAGTATATAGAACGCCTTGCATGTTATTCTACAAGAACCAATAATGTAATGGTAGCATTCTGTTATTTCAGTTCATTTCTGTACAAAGCATGTTTCAAATACGTATAAAGGCTTTAGGCTAATTAATCAGTAGTTTAAACTGTTTTAATTAACAGGTTTGTTTATTTAGAGTCATAAAAGGAGTTTTGTAGTTGTCGATTTCATTTCCGCCTTATTGTGAATACCAAAAATGTAAAAGTAAGCCGCAGGTCGGACGTAAAAAAATAGAAATGGCCCAGGTCCAGTTCTACGCCCGGTATGCTGGACCTGGGCCCCAAAACTGTGCTAGCCCCCCATGTTCCCGTCTATCTTCGATGTTAACTATTTAGGTTTGAAATTTCTCTTAATAATAACTCTCAAGCATGTAAATAAATTAGGTATTTTCTTCTTTTATTTAGAGACAAACGAAATAGAAAACATAGCCGCTTTAGGATTATCCTTTTTAAAAAAAATAATAAATGAGACGAGCCTCGCCAAATAAAAGGTACATACTGCGGGGCCCTCAATAAATGTACATTTAATTACTTAGACTTCGGGAGGAGCCGTTTAGCAAACTTCACGGTTGTCCCCAGAAATAAGGATGTGATAGGCTCTTTAGGCACGTGTTTAATAATCCCACCTTCTCAAATTCGGGTGTGCATTTCATGCAACCCAAATCCAAATCCCAAAACATTGAATAAAAATGTGTTCCGGATTGCGGGTGCATTTCATATGACGCAGTCCAAAGATATGTTTTTAAACGATGTTCATATTCTTTTAAAATATAATAATAAAAGTGGTAAAGAGTTAAAACTTGCACATGAGCGCATAATTGTATAAAATCAGATAAACAAGCCGAATATGACAGTTGAGCGACCGTGCTAGAACCACGGAGCTTGGGAATGCCTAACACCTTCTCCCGGGTTAACAGAATTCCTTATCCGGATTTCTGGTTCGCGGACTGTAATACAGAGTCATTCTTTTCCTCGATTCGGGATTAAATTGGTGACTTGGGACACCCTAAATCTCCCAAGTGGCGACTCTGAAATAAATAAACAAATCCCGTTTCGATTGTCCTTTAATTGGAAAAACTCCTCCAACCCTCGCGGGGGCGGGAAAAGGTGGTGTGACAGCTCTGGCGACTCGTAGTTGAAAGGTTTAGTTATTCTTTTTCATTTGATTTTTGATGTAATAACAGGGACCGCGGACCGAAACCTCGGCGTAACGGCACCTCGATCGGATCTCCTCCTCCGCATACTCCGTCATATCACTCATTTCTGAACTACACGTGGCCTAATTCCTTTATAGCCAAAGATATGTAGGCAGCTCAGATACCAGATCTCGGTCACATTCCCCTTTTCTCTTAATTTTAGTCTCTCCAAATAAGGGTCGGGTCAAAAACCTGTCTAGTCATTCTTTGTCTGAAAATACTACGTCTTTCCAGTCAAAAAGGGGCAGCTGTAGACATGTGATTTTTGACCCTACCCAAAAAATTTCACATTTTAGCTCGTAAATATTTAATTTAGGCATAATATAGATTTTAAGTAATTTTGACTCTTTTACTTTATTTTATTATAAGAAAACAAAAATTACAAAAATAGGTTCATTAATGTTTTGTAGTCATTTTTAATCTTAAAAAAATACAAAAATAGTATCGTATTTTTATTTTACAATACAACAATAACAACCCAGTATAATCCCACTTAGTGGGGTCTGGGGAGGGTAGTGTGTACGCAGACCTTACCCCTACCCTAGGGTAGAGAGACTGTTTCCAAATAGACCCCCGGCATCCTTCCCTTCAAGAACTTCACAACCTCTCGGTTGGAAGTGGGGGTTGCTTACCATCAGAGCAACCCCTCTTTTTTGAAAATACCAAAAATAGATTTGTTTTAATGGTTAGTTTAATTTTAATAATTTTTTGAATAGAAGGATTAATTAATAAATGGGACCGTATTTTTAATCTCGTTTGCAGGGAAAGAATAGAACTTGGGCTCGAGCAACCCATTTTTAGGCCTAATTTTGAACCTAGTCCATAATTTCCAAGCCCATAATTCCTAGGCCCATACCCCTTAACCTAAAAACACTACAATCTACAATATAAAAAGAAGAAGAACGCTGAAAAGAAAAGGGGAGAGGAAAAAAAGTTGCGCAGCCTTTTGAAAAAGGGACGATCCCTTTTGTTTTTTTCTGGAGAAATCAACACCAAAAGAAACGATCCCACCCCCCTTTGGATTGTCTTCTTCACGAAACCACCCTGCCCCTCTCCCAGTCTTTATCCTTCGAACACGACCCCCCCTCCATCGGTCTGGAATTCTTTTTCTCCAAATCCTCTCACCAACCTAACGACCGGAGGGACAAAGAAAAACAGAGCAATTGCAGTTTCTTCATCTCCTCTCGCCCACCAGTGGCGAACTCGCCGAAACATACACATACAACTTCCTTCTTGCTTCTTCTTCAGCAACCAAGCCAAAGTCATCGCTCCGACCCATGAACGTTAATCGTCAAACGACCCCATCTCTGCCTGAAACTCACCGGAAAAACGAGCTCCACCAGCTCGTCGGACTAACGAGTTCCAGATGAGACCCCTTCCTCAAGCGACCAAACCAGCTTCTTCATCACCGGAAGTGGCCAGGAGTCTGATGACAACCTTCGAGCTCTAGAACTAACGAACAAAGGCGCTGAAAACAGTGAGGAGTCGCAAAACTCATTTAACACCCTTTTCCGGCGAGTCTCGAGTTTTTGGTTGAGCATCAATGACTGAGTATCAACGACCGTTTCCCTTGGTTCCTTGTCGAAGTCCGTTCACTAGTTCTATTTAGTTAAAAGGTCTGATAGTTGTTCTTCGAGTTGAAATTTAGAGTTGTTCGTTGTTGATTGCCGGATTTGTTGGCTGTTGTTGGCTGAGCTTCGATTTCAAGTAGTGGGATGCCTGTTCCCATCATATTTGCCCAATTGCATTGAGTCGCCTGAATTTGTTATTACTAATTGCTTCCTGGCTTCACTGCAATCTACAGCCGAACCTTTTTCCTCAGGTATGTTTTTGACCTTTTCTCTGTTTTGAAGCAGAGTATTTGCTCTGTTTGGAGACTGTGTGTGTTCTGCTACAACTGCTGCATAAGTGATGAAAATTTTATTCCTTTGGTCATTTGAACATAGTGTAATTGTTGTAGCTGTTTCGATGCTTTTCTTTATTGAGTCTGCATTTGCAGCTGATGCATATTCCTCCCTCCTGCTTTCAATTTTAGACTGAGTAACTTTCTCCATTTTTGCCATTGGATCAGTGTTAACAACATTACCATTTGAATTGCATTATAGCTATTTCAGTGACGGAGTTTAATGCGAAATTGATAAATTTGTTTGGTTAGTGATTATTTAGATCCACGTCGTCTTAAATGGATTTGGATTTTAAAGGAAAGATAATTTTGGAAAGAACAGTGAATTGCCTTAGAATCATGCGGATTAATCAGAAATTGCTTTGAGTTTAAACGCGAAAGAGAAATTAGACTTTAAAAGTTTTATTGCTTCTGTATTATTGTTTTACTAGCTAGCAACACGTTTCTGGGCCATAGGACTTGGACTTAATATTTTTAAAGAATTTGAGTTGAAATGACCATGAAACGAACTTTTATTTTATTTATTTTTTTGTTTTATTCATACTTTTCTTGTTAACCATTAGCAACATCTTTAGTCTGAGGTGAGCCATTCACAATTTAATAAAACATGGCCCTCGTATTAATTTCATAACCAAGATATAAAAATGACACTAGTTCGTAGTTTGCTTTTGGCACGTTTAATATACTATCGTAGTTGTGGACACGTTCGCGTGACATGGTTACGATTTTCTAAAAACAAAATCAGAGTATGCGTTCGCACAACTTCGACCAAATATTCTTAATAATAATAAAGCGTTATTAACTATGGACACGTTTGCGTGACATAATTTTTGACACGCCAAACAAACGGGTATACGTACGCGTGACTTGTTTAAGATGTTTTCTTAATTAAAAGAGTTAAAAGCACATAGGTTCTAAAACGAGTAAAAAAGTTTTAATAAGCCAAGTATGATCAAAGCGACCGTGCTAGAACCACGGAACTCGGGAGTGCCTAACACCTTCTCCTGGGTTAACAGAATTCCTTACCCGAATTTTTGTGTTCGCAGACTATAGTACAAAGTCAATCTTTTCCTCGATTCGGGATTCGAACCGGTGACTTGGGACACCATAAATTATCCCAAGTGGCGACTCTGAATTTTTAAACAAACAAATCCCGTTTCGACTGTCCTTTAATTGGAAAAACTCCCTTATATTTATACCATTTGTGGGGTGTAGTAAAAAGGAGGTGTGACAGCTCTGGCGACTCTGCTGGGGACCGAACCCAAAATCTCTGGTTCAGGGTTCAAGAATTCGAGCTTGTTAATGATTTTTACTTGGCTTCATTTATTGTTAATATTACTGTATTCTGTGAATCTTTATGCTAAATGTTATTTGTTTACTGCTTTATTATTATTTGAATTGTATATAAATATTTTCTTACGCCACCTCTTTGAGTCTTCTGAAAATGGTGCACACGTTCGCGTGATCCGCTTTTTCTGTAGAAATTATACCAAATAGAACGAGGTTGCGCAAACGACAAGGCCGGGTAGACTTCAGTGCTCCCGGTACGTCGCCCCCTCTTCGGCCCCAGTTGTCCGCTCGGGTACCCAAGTCTAGACCAAAACCCCAGGATTTAAACGTAGAAAAACATAGCTTCATGTCGGATCCCTAGTAGGAACGCTTGTTTGCATCGTGTGCATTTGACTTAGGGGACCCAATACAGGGGTTGGGTCCGTCTAGGGCAGGTGTACCTAAAATAACAGACCATCTTGATGCATCCTATGTGCTATATGTTGCATTTCTTCAAGGGTAAAAGGGTCATTTGGCGGACCAATGATAGTTGAGGGCAAATGAAAAAAGATGAAAAAGAGGGTGAAGTGTGAAAATAAAGCAAGTAGGGCCCAATTATATTTTTTTGTCACATTTTTGTTAAGAATTAAAAAAAAGAGCTTGAAAATTCAAAAAAAAAAAGATTTTGTACTTTTTCATCATTTTTTCGAAAATACAAAAAATGGAAAAAGAAAATTCAAAAAGAGTTTACATGTTTCATCATTTTTCAAAAAAAAAATATTTTCTTTAAAATTAGTCGTTTTTGACTCCGACACATTTGTAGTCAGGGTTCCCCATCGTCTGTCACCATCAGCATGTAATGTCCACTTGTGAAGCTCATGTCCCATCAGTCAATTATAGGCGCTTTCGTCTAATTGCTGGATCGCTTCCATGCGCCTCGTGAATTTGCATTGCTGGTGCTCAATTGCAGCCATCCACATTAAATCATGCAAGGCCTTGTCGAGATATTTCTTCTAGAAATTGGCCTTCAGATAACTCACATAGTAACGGTGATATGCATAGGGTTCCTGCCATTCAGGCAAATGTCGTATAGAACTTAAAATACTACCATACTGATCAGATATTAGACAAATACCTGAACATTGTTTGACAGTGTGTTGCTTCAAGTGGTTCAAAAAAAGCATCCACGTCTCTTCGCTTTCATTTGCACAAATGGCAAAAGCTAGTGGAAATATTTATTTGTTGGCATCTACTGCAACTGCGATCAAAAGCTTAATATCATACTTTCCATAGACATGAGTACCGTCCATGGAAATTATCGGACAGCAACGCACAAAACCATCAATTGCTGGTTTAAATGACCAAAACACATAGTTGAAAATATATTCCAGTATTCCCGGACTCCGCTCATACCTCCATTCAACAACAGTCCCGGGGTTAAAGTGTTTTAGTGCGGCCATGTACCTGGGTAGAGATGAAAATGACTTATCTCAGTCACCATAAATAAATTCAAATGCACGTTTGCGCCCGAGATATGCTTTTCTTTTAGTTATAGTACACCCATATTTCTGGTGGACGGATGTAATACACTTTTTGATCTTATACCTAATGGACACTTCCAAGTGTGGAATCAAGACAAGAGAAATCAAGTCTATATCCAAGTTGAAGTGATTCTGATTGAATGTGTCCATTTCACATCCGTGGTTGCTAATATATTTACCCACTTTCCACAACCCTGTTTCCTTTTTGATTGCACGCAACATCCAGTTACAACCCATAAAGTGTCTAGGGAAACTTGTATGGTCCCCAAACATCAATGTGTAGAAGTTGTAAAGGACCACTACTTCTTGTAATACTTCTAGGAAAAACTAATCTGCTCTGCTTAGCCAATGGACATACAGAACAGTCCTTATTATCATCTAGATCTTTAAGTTGTATGAAATCTATGTTTTTCATTGTACTAACAGAGGTGTGACCTAATCTTTTGTGCCAAAGAATGCCATCTACTGCTGGTTTCTGAACTGTTGCCACTGATGCTTGCCTCAAACTTCTAGCAATGTGCTCATCCTTCAGCACATATAGACCTCCCTTTTCCTACCAATCCCCCTCAACCTGCCACTCCAAAGGTCCTGAAACACACAGAAGTCAGGATAAAGGTGGATAGAGCAACTGAGTTCCTTTGTGAGTTTTGACACAGACAACAAATTAAATTTGAAATCAGGAACATATATAGTACATTCTTAATCTCCATATCATGAAGAAATGTTGCACTACCAATATCAGATATGTTTGTCTTCTCACCAGTAGTCAAATGAACTTGATCACTACCATGAAGAAGTGTGCATCTGATGCATAAGCTATTCCACTAACTAGGTTTGTTGATACAGTGTTCATGATCCATGAGAGCACAATCGCATTGCATGTCTCCTATTCCTCGTGTAATTCCTTTCTAAAAGTCTCCTTCTTACACATACCAGTTACAAAACTTAGCTTTCGCTTAGCTTGAAGAGCTATTCGCATCGTCCTTCGCCACAATCCGTAGTTTTTAGATCCGGTGAGTTGAATTGGAATCAAAACCGAGCTCGGCATATCAGAAGGATGCAGAAATAAAGGATGAGTGTGATCAATTTTCTCCTCTGCCATCTCTGGACTTTAAGCGAGAATTTGAAACACACGAACACGGAATTATTCAGGAAGCAACCAATATCGATTGCTTTGATACCATGTGTGAGTTGAGCTGATTTCAATCACAGCTCATCCTCCATTAATGGAGGTTCCAATGAGTAAATCGAAATTGCAATAGAGAAGATGAAAACCAGAGGAAATAGTGAGAGAAGAAGTTTTTGTATATTTCTGTACAAAATGAAAATCTGATACATCATACATATATATACGTATAACTCTCACTAACTTAATCTCTCAACTAACTAGTGCTAACCACCTCAGCCACTCTAACTAACTAGTGACATCTGGATGACTGCCCCACTAACTTGTCCAGCTGTCATTCCTTCAGCTTCTTTCACACTGATCACTTGTCTTTGTATTATTTAGGATTTCATTCCTTTTTTGACTTTGTACTATTTAGGATTTTCTTCCTTTGTCGGGTAGTAATGATCTCATATAGAACACCTTATCATGCATTTCTTTAGATAGTAGATTTACTGAAGAATGAAAAAGTAAGCACCTTGTCTTGTGTTTTCGGTTTTGTTTAGCCAATGTGGTATCAATAATTTAGTGATGATGTTGCTTTGCAGTTCAGTCTCTGAGCCGAGGGTCTCCCGGAAATAATCTCTTTACCCTCCGGGATAGGGGTAAGGTCTGCATGTACTCTACCTTCCCCAGACCCTACTGGTGAATTCTACTTGGTTGTTGTTGTTATTGATGATGATTGTTTCTAACTAAATATGCAGATAAAGGAAAAGAGGACAGATAAATAAATTCTTTTTAAATACCAAACAAATTACTCTAGCCATGTGAATTGCACAACATGTTTTAAATAATTCTTTAGGTTATTGAACTTGTTCAGTGATTTTAAGAGTCTATTTGATCTTGTATAGCTAAACAAAAAAAGAATGAATATTCACATGGTAATAGTCATGGAAAAGTAGTGCATTTTGGAGTATATATTTGGAAATGAAAACCATCAAAGAAGTATAATTTATAAATTTAATAAATCTATTCTTAAAAGGTTTATGAACCAAGGTATGTACTTTGCTACACGTCCTCTTGGTCCGAGTGACATGCATTTGAAGCAGAATCATTTGCTTGGCACTACTTTAAATGATGGTGGCCATTTATGATGTTTCATAGTGTAGTTCCAACCTTCTTGTGTACACGTGTTTGAGCATCTTTCTTCTTTATCAGTGTATGTGTGCTTTGGGTTATGTGTGTTTTATCAGTCTTTACTGAGATGTATAAGGTGTCTTTCTGTATGTTTGTGCAAGTCAAGCATTATAGAACTAGTGAAATCATGAAGATCGATGACATATTTGATTCATTGATCTAAGATAGTTTCAGCTAGATCCAAGTAACTCTCAGTAACTTGGTCTAGCCATAAACTGAGAAACTTTTGTGGTGGCTAGTGAAAGTTTGTGGTTTAGTCATAACTGATAATGGTAATGAACTTATATGCATTGGCCTATGAATTCTGAGATTATTCTTGGATACTCTAGTTTGTGAATTACAATGTAGGATTTTATAGGGTCTAATTATAGTTAAATTTCCCAGCACACATATCACCTTGCTTCCGTGTGAAAGAGGGAGATCATGTTATCATTGGATAGTGCAGGCCTTTGTCCAAGACTGTGAAGTTTAATGTGTTAAAGGTGATTCCAGCTGGTTCTGCTGGTGGTGGCAAGAAAGCATTTACAGGAATGTAAGCAGGGATTTCTCGAGTTTATTGTCACTTCTAGAGTATGAAAAGTAATCATGTTTAAGACAGAAGGAGTGACGTTAAGAGTTCTCTACTAAAAGAACTTTGCATTTGCCTTTGAAGGCTTACATTTTTTATGGATACTCGCTGCTTATCCTTAGTAAGGATTTCAGATTTCTGTTTCTCAAAGAAATAAAATTATAGTTAATTTGAGATAAAAAGTGTTTGCTTAATGATTTTATATGAATAATAGATGTTGATTTTTCTTTAATTTTGGTTGTCCCCTGTAGTATGATGTAGTTACTCCTGACACGGTCTCGGTCAGTTCACTCTTATCGCAGTTTCTCTTATGAACATTGTATGAACATTGTGTGTTCTCTTTTACTATATGGATGAATTGACTTATCTAGTAATAATTTCATGCAAGCTCCAACTACCCCAGAATTGAGAATTATTGTATTTCATCTATTGACATAATTATTTTATAATTTCAGGTCATACAGTTTAATATTCAGTAATTTAGCGGGTGGAAAATTTCAACATGACAAAGAGTTGTAGAAATCATTTGAAGATTTTTATTCGTTAAGATTAGTTATATAATGAAATTAGTTATTTAGTTCAAAAAGTTTAAGTTTATTTTTTAAGTTACTGTGATATTAATATTTTGGAAGTACTTCCTCTTGTTTGTTAAGATTTAACTAGATATATTATGGTTTGCTTAATTAATATTGATATGTTTTGTTATTTGTATTATTTTTTGATTGAATGTAGTAGCTATTATTAATGGTGGCTAAACTTACTCTTATAGCTTGTGACTTTTAGTGCCAATTTAATAGGATATACCAGCTATAAAATGAATGATAAAAGGTCAAATTAAGATGTTTATACATGAATATTGTAGCCATTAAATTGCTATTAAAGATGACTTTTAGCGGCGATTGGGTTGAATGTACTAGCGATTAAAATGGACGCTAAAAGGGCATAATAATACGTTTTTCTAAGAGATATTGTTGCCACTTTAATTGCCACAAAACAACTACCGCTAAAGGTATGGAGTTCTAGCGATAATTGTTTTTAACTTTAGCGGCTATAAAATGGATGTTAAAGGAGCATTATTAGCCATTTTAGAGTGGGTTTAGCAGCTATCATAATTGCCGCAAATATTTGCCGTTAAAGCAAATGCATTTTAGTGGCAATAAGTCATACCCTTTAGCAGCTTTTGAGAGAAACACCGCTAAAGGCTTTACTGACCCCGGTTTCAGTGGCTAAATACCAATTGTCGGTAAATGATATAGCGGCTATTGATACTGCCGCCAATGCTATTTTTTATTGCCGCCAAAGGCCTTTTGTGTAGTAGTGGTAGCCTGAGTGGTGGAAAGGGCTAACAGGGTAAAGTCCTCTTCATGTCTCCTGGACAAGGCATCCGCCACCTTGTTTTCTATCCCTTTTTTATATTGCACCTTATAATCTAGTCCCAAAAGCTTTGTTAGGCCCTTTGTTGTAATGTTGTAGTTACCTTATGCTCTAATAAGTACTTTAAACTCTGGTGGTCTGTCTTAACAATGAAATGCCCCCTGCAGATATTGTCTCCACTTGTCTATGGCTGATAGCACAGCTATATATTCTTTCTCGTAAGTAGAAATCCTTTTATGTTTAAGAGCAAGAGCCTTACTAAAATAAGTTATAGCTCTACCAGGTTGCATCAATATAGCCCCTATCCCAGTGGAGCATGCATCAGTCTCCACTACAAAAGGCTTAGTGAAATCAGCTAGAGCCAAAACTGGAACTGTTGCCATAGCTTCTTTCCGCTGTTGAAAAGCCAATTCTGCTTCCTCATTCCATTGAAATGCATTCTTTTTTAGTAGGTTTTTCCGGGGTCTATTGATTACTCCATTGGACTTTACAAACCTCCTGTAGTAGCATGTGAGCCCCAGAAACCCTCTGAGAGCCTTGATAGATTTTTGCACAGGACAAAACAATATGGCTTCAATTTTAGCAAGATCAGTAGCTACCCCTCTTCCTGAGATAATATGTCCTAAATATTCCACTTTGTCCTGTCCAAGTGAACAATTAGACAATTTGGCATAAAACTGCTCCTTCTATAGTACTTCTAGCACTATTCTAAGATGAAGTGCATGAGTTTCTAATGTAGGGCTGTAGATTAATATATCATCAAAGAACACCAACACAAACTTTCTCAAAAAAGGTTTGAAAACATGATTCATTAGGCTTTGGAAAGTGACAGGTGCATTGGTCAAGCCAAAGGGCATGACCTTAAACTCATAATGTCCTAAATGAGTTCTGAATGCAGTTTTAAAAATGTCATTCTCGCTCATTTTTATCTGATGATAACCAGCTCTCAAGTCAATCTTTGAATAGATGCAAGATCTATTGAGTTCATCCACTAAGTCATCCACCAATGGTATAGAAAATTTATCTTTAACTGTCATCTTATTAAACTCCCTATATAATCAATGCAAAATCTTCAACTACCTGTTTCTTTTTAACTAAGAGCACTGGTGAGGAGAATGGAGAGTGACTAAGCTGAATAATTCCATTAGTCAACATTTCAGTTAATTGCTTCTCTATTTCATTTTTTTGAAAATAGTTATACATGTAGGGTCTGATACTCACTAGTGCTACATCAGGATTAAGGGGAATGAAGTGGTCATGGTCCTCCTTGGTGGTAAGGTCTTGGGCTCTGCAAACACCTTGGGAAAGTCCTGGAGTACTGATCTGATCTCTTCAGGTAACTTTGTTGTAACTTCTACTTCTTTAGCTGAGATTGAGAATAAATGTGCCTGCATCACTTGCCCTTTCTTTAGCAATTGTTTAACCCTAGAAGCAGTCATAGTTTGTAGTTTTCCCTCTTCAGAGAATTCCTTCAGTTCTACCCTCTTACCATTGACACTCACTTGGAGTCTATATCCAATAAAGTCAAATAAGACTGGATTGTGTTTCCTCATCCAGTCCACTCCTAACACCATGTCTTACCCTCCAATATCCAACAACCTAAGCTTGTGCTCAAAATCAATTCCATGTATATTCTATTTGATGAGGGACATGAGTTATAACTCATCAAATGGCTACCATTAGCGACAGTAACCCTCACAAGTGCATCTTCTTTAATCACACATCCCAATTATTTTGCAGAACTACTAGCCACAAAACTATGGATGCTACCACTATTAGCTAGAATTATCAGTTTCTGTATTCTATACATCCCTTTCAATTTAATGATATTAGAGGTCACAATCCCTGATAATGTATTGAGACTTATGGCCTCATCAATTATCCCTTCTTGACCATTTTCAGCTTCTTCTATTTCTTCTATTCCTTGGTTTTCCTCTATTGTATCCTCGTCAGTAGTACTATGCGAGGTATTTAACTACTTATCCTTACATTAGTGACTTGGGAAGTACTTGTATCCACATCTATAGTATTCACCCCTGGCCTTCCTTGCTTCAAACAAATTGTTAACAGAGATGGTAGAGTTAGAGTAATTCTCTTTTTGTGTATTCCCAGATGGTCTACTCCTTGATGCTCAACTACAACAACAACAACAACCCAGTATAATCCCATTAGTGGGGTCTGGGGAGGGTAGTGTGTATGCAAACCTTACCCCTACCATGGGTAGAGAGATTGTTTCCAAATAGACTCTCGGCATCCTTCCCACCAAGAACTCCCCACCTTGCTCTTGGAGTCACTCGAACTCACAACCTCTTGGTTGGAAGTGTGGGTTGCTTACAATCAGAGCAACCCCTCTTGTCTACTCCCTGATGCTCCATTGTATGAATTGTATTGAGTTGACTGTCTTCCTCCACTCATTTTGTTCTTTCTACTAATTGAATTCAGTAATTCTTCCTTATGTCTAGCCTTTTCTACCGCTTGACTTAGGGAAAAAGGATCAAGCATTTTAACTGTATCCTTGATTTCTTTTTAAGTCCTTCAATGAAAAATCTTAGAAAGATTCTTCAGGAATGGTTGAGTGTTTGATTAATACCCAAGCCTTCAAATCTTCAAACTTCTCAAAATATTCATTCACAGTTTCCCTTTGCTCAATTCTTTTAAACTTCCCCAATAGGGTTAGATTACTATTATGAGAATCATTAAGTCTTTTACAGATTTCCTCAACAAAATCAGGCCATCTCACCATACCTCTACTCAATTAATATGAGAAATACCAAGACTCAACCCTCACATTCAAGTGAAGAACTGTAGTATCTAACTTTTGCTGTTGTTCAATTATACGATTATAAAAGAAATACCTTTCACATTTTCGCAGCCAAGATCTGGGATTCCCATCTTCAAAGTAAGGACAATCCATCTGAGCAGCAGTACTGTTCAAGTAGAATTTTCCAGCGGAATTCTCCTGTGGTTCGATCATCCTCATTTTGCTGCTCGATCCATCCAAATTAGGGGTGGGTGTCGGTCGGTTCGGTCGGTTATTATAAAAGTACAGTTCGATTTATCGGTTTTCGATTTTGTAATATTTATAATCAAATCAAACCAAAGTATTTACGATTCGGTGCAGTTTTTCAAGGTTCGGATCGGTTATTTTATGTTATTAATAGTTCAAGATTTTGATTAATACAGCAAGTTGCTGAAACATGTTGGTTGCTTTTCTGGGGAGAGTGATGTCATAAAAGATAGGATTCTCCATCCTAGTATTATCTTATTGTTATAATTTTGAGGAAAAAGGGAAATCTTGTAATGCTTTACTTGTTTGGACCTCAGATAGATAGGAAAAGTTTGTATGCGCCCATTTCTATTGGTTGGGTGGAGAAATACTTTGGTCTTAGTTTTTGTCGCATTCTTTTCTTCTTCTTTTGGGGCCTGTTGAGGGTTTTTCTTTCTTTTGTTATTTTAATATAAATTCTTGTCTTGACCCAGATGACTTCTGTATATAAATAGCCTTTGCAATTACGTTCTGGTTCTGATGAATTATCGTTTGTATTTAGGTATCTCTTTCATAATATATTAATATTTTATGCTAAAATGTCCATTCGTGGGATAATATATTAATACATACAAAGCATTGTCCTCACATTCCCTTTTCATATCTCTTCTACTCGGCACATATAGAATATGGAGTATTAAATTTCGGTTTAACCGAAAATTGAAACACCAAAATCGTAAACCGCACTGAAAAACTGAAATTTAATATTCTAAAAACCGCACACCGACCTAATAACCGTTTAAACCGAAACCGAAAAGCCAAAATTCACGGTTCGGCCAGTTTTTTTGGTTCGACCGGTATTATGCCCATCC